GGCCGTGTAGATGAGGCGGCCCACCTTGGGCGCGCGGCAGGGCATGGCCGGCGTGGGCTTGTGCAGCGTGAGCTCCTGGAAGATCTGCACCAGGTAGTCCTTGCAGCGCGCGTCGCTCTGCAGGATCTCACACTTCTGCAGCTGCATCTGCAGGAAGTGTGGGGTGAGCGCGTGGCAGCGCACGGCGCGCAGCAGCGCCTGGACGTAGAAGCGCCGCTGCTCGCTGTCGTACTTAACCCAGTTGATGCACGCGTGGAACACCTCGGACTCGCAGCGCACGTTCAGGTCATCCCGGCTGATCAGCGTCGCCAGCTGGCAGTGGGACAGGTTGAAGAACTCCTCCTGCTTGGCCACCTGCAGAGGGCGCTCGTGTGACAGGCTGATTCCCATGGGTCCTTCCCAAAGGCACCAGGTGTGTGTGTGTGTGTGTGTGTGTGTGTGAGGGAGAGAGATGGAACACAAGGTCTTTGTACTGAGCCACATCCCCTGTTCTTTTGTCCTTTTAAAGAATTTTGAGGGGCTGGGTGTGGTGGCGCACACCTGTAATCCCAGCACTTAGGAGGCTGAGGGAGGAGGATCACTGTGAGTTCAAGACCAGCCTGGGCTACACAGTGAGTTCCAGGTCAGTCTCAACTACATAGTGAGACCCTGTCTCAAAAAAAAAAAAAAAGAAAAGAAAAAAGATTTTTTTTTTTTGGTACCAGGGATCAAACACTGGTCCTTGGGCTTTCAAGGCAGACAAGCAGAATCCCTGCCCGGAATCCCAGCTAAATCCCTGGCCCTAAAGAATTTTTTTAAAATAAGGTCTGGCTAAATTTCCCCCTGGTCTGGAACTTGGAATCCTCCTGCCTCAGCCTCCCACACTGCTGGGATGACAGGCGTGCACCACCACGCCTGGTTTCATTCAATGATCTTGGACCATTTACTCAACCGGCCTTTGACAGTCTCAGTTTTCTTATCTGTGAAATATAGTTTCAATTAGTATGAGTCTCGGGGCGTGGTGGTGCACTCCTGTTATCCTAGTGTCTGGGAGGCTGAGGCAGGAGGACTGTCATGAGATCCAGACCACCCTGGGGATACACAGTGAGTTCAGTGCCAGCCTTGACTACAAAGTGAGATCCTGTCTCAATAAATAAATAGAGGGCTGGGGATTTGGCTCACTGGTTCCACCGACTGTCTCAGAAGCACAAGGGCTGGAATTTGATCCCTGGTACCAAAATAAATAAATAAATAGATAGATACATAGGTAGTCAAGTAGAAGGAATCTCTAAATTGTGTGGATTAAATGAGCTAATATTTCATGCCAGACAGGTAGTACAGGTATAGGTGAATGGACAAAGACAATAGTTTCTTTTTTTCCTCCCTAAGGTGCTGGGGATAGAACCCAGAGCTTCATGTGTGGTAGACAAACACTCTACCCCTGAGCTACATCCCTACCCCAGAGACATGCAGTATTTTATTTTACATTTTGCATAACTTGGGACTGAACCCATGGCCTTCACACTAGGTACATTTCCAGCCCTTTTTATTTTTTATTCTGAGTCAGAGTCTCACTGAGTGTCTAACCTTCCTAAGCTGGGCTGGAACTTGTGACCCTCCTGCTTCAGCCTCCCAGAGTCAGGCAGGTGCACCATACCTGGCAAATTTTATGATTTTGGGGGGGAGGGGTACTGACATCAAATTCAGGACCTTGCACTTGCAAGGCAGGTGCAGTGCTATTGAGCTAAATGCCCAGCCCTGCTTTTGTGATCTTCTGAAAATTAACTCTGGATTATTTTCTCTTGACAACTTCCTGCACAGAGAAATGAAAATGAAAGTAGAAACCAGTACAAAGACAACACTGTGTGCACCCAAGGAAACAAGACTAAGGGTCAAACTTGCAGTGTGTGTCGTCACAGGTGCTTAATAAATATTTGCAGGCTGGCCACCTGCTCAGGGCACCCGGGGATTGGCTGCTATCATGGTTCGCCACACTCTGTCCCCACCTTTGACCGCAGGGAATCCAGGGCACCCAGTGACCCACGAAGACCACACGCTTATCAGATAATCAGCCCAGATTTGCTGACTAGGAGCACAGGACCTGGGTTTCCTCGGGTTCCCAGCCTTTTTTTCCCCTAGGTATGGGGACTGAACTCAGGGCCTTGCACTTGCAGGGTGGGCACTGTGACACTGAGCTGAAGTCCCAGCCCCCAGCCTTTTTTACTTTTATCCTTCTGAGACAAGGTCTTGTTATGTACTCCAGGCTGGCCTCGAACTCACCAGGAGATCCTCCTGCCTCAGCCTCCCGAGTGCTGGGATCACAGGCGTGGGCCACCCCGCCTGTGTCCAGTTCCCAGCCTTGGCCCTTCTCGTCCCCGGGGGAGAGGGTGATGACACCTATCTGCCCCCAGCCCTTCTCCGGACCACTGTCCCCAAGTCCCCTCCGGGCTCACCTCCCCGAAGTGCATGTAGATGTACTCGCGCGCGCGCTGGTGCAGCTCAGTACAGCCGATCTGTTCGGCGAAGTTGGCGATGCCGATGGCGTTGCTGGGGTCGAGCTGCTGCACCAGGAAGTCGCTGCAGGCGCGCACGACGCTGTCGATCTGGTACATGACAGCGCCGTTCATGACGTGCAGCACGCACTTCTCGCCCATGGAGATGGACGCGGTGTAGGCGAACTCGATGAGCCGCTCCATGACCAGAGGGTGGATGCCCTCGATGGACACCACCTCCATGCCCTGCTCGCGCAGCCCGTTGGTGAACATGGCCTTGAACACGGGGCTGGACGAGGCCAACACCACCTTGTGCGCCATGAACTGCGCCGTGGGGATGTCCTCGTACTTCACCTGCAAGGTGACGTCGCACAGCTGCTGGCTGAGACGCAGCTCGTTCATGATGCCGAAGGCCTGTTTCGTGTGGTCCTCCAGCGTGTAGCTGAAGGTGCGGTTGCCATCCTGGGACGGGGTCACCTCGGCCTTGCACTCGGTGGACGCGTACATCACCGTGTCCCCGGCCCCCTCGGGGCACTCGGAATGCAGGGGCAGGAAGCGGCTGCGGGCCCCGGCCCTGCTAGGCCTGGGTTCCGGCTGCATGGGGTCCCAGGTGACAAGGAGCAAGATCAGGAGTGGCACTCAGAGGCCTGGAGGAGGGAGAGGACAAGGGCTGCGGCCGGGCCTGGGCCACGCCAGCACCTGCCGGGCCTCCTTACTGAAAGACAGGGATTCCTAGCCGAGCGTGGTGATGCGCGCCTGTGATCCCAACACTCAGGAGGCTGAGGCAGGAAGATCGTTGCGAGTTCAAGGCCAGCCTGAACTACACAGTGAGCCCCTGTCTCGAAAATAATAAATACATAAATAAGCAAATGGAAAAAATAGCATCGGCAGTGTGACCACGCGTAGATTACTTGGTCACCTAGGGGCTGTTACTTTAAATCAGGTAATTCAGGCCTCAGAGATGGTGACGTGGGAGCCGAGACACAGATGAACTAGAAAAGGGGTGGGAGGGAGTTGTTCAGGCGGCTCAGGCAGCAAGTGCAAAGGCCCCGGGGAAGCAGGCAAGGGGCGGTTTGGGAATCTAAGGGCCTGCGCAGCGCAGGAGATGCAGGGATTCCCGGAGACCCTGGAGACCACGGAGTCGGGGCAGGGACGCGCTGCGGTTTGAAAGAGGAAGGAGAAGGGCCGGGATCTGCTGGGGCACCCGGATTCGGGGCTCAACCCAGAGCCACGTCCTCCCTACTTCCATGGGGAGCAGAAAGGCTCCCCTTGCCTGGTTTTCTGAGGTCCCTGTCGCCCCCACCCCGAGCCTCAGGGCGCAGGGCACCCACTGCTCCTCCGTGGGGCCCCACCTCGCCTAAGGCCTGGCACCGCGCAATGTCGCCCGGTGGGTTCTCGCTGACGGCTGGCCGGGCGCGCCGCCCTCTC